TCTCTCTCTCTCTCTCTCTCTCTCTCTCTCTCTCACACACACACACACACACACACACACACACACATGCACGCACACACATACATACATGCACACACATCTGTCACACACAAATAAATAAAAATAATATTTAGAATGGTGTATTCATGTTCAGGTCACTCAGCATTCAGAGGACTCCTTGCTGGTGGATACCAATTAAACTCAGTTTACTCATTCACTATGTTCCCTAGGTGATTATTAAATACATTGTGTTATATTCTGTTTGAGACACTTAGACATTATCAGTGAATGACAAATGACAAGACCACTACCTTCACATAGTTTCTAGGCCAGTGGTAAGAGGCAAAAGCATACTGAAAAAGAAATCTTTAGTATTTTAGACGATTATACAGATAAGGCAAATACGTATTAAGAAGGAACAGACTACAGGAAAGAGCTGGATGCTGGGTAAGGAGGTGGGAAATAAAGAGGGTGAGATATAAGCAGAGCTCACTCAGGAGGTAACAGCTGAGAAAAGACTTTGAAAGGAGTGAGGATGTCGACCACAAAAGCAATGCAAGGCAGTGGTTCCCAACCTCAGTGTGTAACAGCAACACCGATAGATAGGGCTTCTCAAATACTCCGTGCTAGACGGTGACTAGAATCATTGGATGTACGGGTCTGCAGAAGACATGAAGATTTGCCGTTCTTCCAAGTTCCTGGGTGATACTAGTGCCCCTGGCTTAGGTCCTGTATTTTGAGAATCTCAGGTCTGGGAGTAGAAGGTTCTGGGAGCTAGGTAAAATGCTTCTGGACAAGAAGGTAGCAGGTTATTTTAAGGGACAATGGAGAGGCGAGGTTGACAAAGAAATGAGCAGTAGGGGTAGGGGGACACTTGCAAGACGGATCTGATGGGATCTGTGGAGTTTCCTGAGGGAGATGGAGATCTGTTGTAGAAGTGTGAGCCGAGTGTGCATGAGCTCAGTGTGACAGCACCCTAGCCGCTGTGCAGAGTTTTGGTGGATAAGAGGGTACAAGCATTGACACAGAAAATGTGACAGCTCTCACTAAGGTCAGATGAGGTTTCCATCAGAGGCAGAGGTAACAGATGGGTTGAGAGGTGTTTAAAGGCACAGTCTGTGCTGTTCCCTGACAGACACTTGAATCCTACATTAGACACTTGAAAAGGAGGTTCACAAAGATGACTCCAGTTACCTTTTTAGCCCAAGGAACTAGATACGCCATTTTTATTAATTCAGACAAAATACTGCACAAGAAACAATTTCTCTTGGAATATTCTAGTGTGCAGTTGTCAACTTGCTGAGATAAAAACACGTTTACCGCATCAAATTACTATTCGTTAACCATTGGTGCATACTAATCTATCCCAGGAGACAGGCAAGAGCAGTCCCTGTCACTGTCAGTCATACCCTGAGGCCCAGGGCTTCAGTGCCTTCCCAGTAACGTGTTCTAGTGAATCCTTAGACCCACCTGCCTGCCTGTGGAGAAGATTGTGTTAGTGTTATGCTGCCGTAATACCTGAGATAGATCAAATTATAGGAAGAAAAACTCATTTTGGCTTCATTGCATGGTTGTCCAGCTCCGTTGTTTGTGAGCCTAGGATGAAACAGAACATGTTGGGGAAGAGGAGTGTGAATTGCTCACCATGTGAGGGCCTTTGAAACACAGCCTCTTCCCAACCAGGAAGCAGGACTGGGAGGAAGGGCCTGGAAACGGGAGAGGCCCAGCACCCACTCCTTTGAATTAAGGCCCACCTGCTCAGTTGCCAGCATCTTCCCATTGCCCGTCAAATAGGTAACCATAAAAGAATTACCCCGTTGATGAGTCCCAGGATCCAATTTCATTCAGATATTCCTCCTCTGTACTTTGCCACACTAAAGACCAAACCCAACAAATGGGCCTTGGCGGGACATGTCAGATCTGAACCATAAGACCTTAAGCTCTGATATTTCTGAAACCTTGGTTTTTAAGTGAAGCTAGCTTATTTGTCCTGTAAGTCTTTTAGATAACTTCTAAGCTTCATCTTCTCACCATAACAATTGTTTCAAGAATGATTAGTGTTTTGTTTGCATTATTATCTGTCACAATTACTTACAGTTTTGAGCAACATATGTACATAGCTTAATGAACTGTTATTTGCAAAGAAGTTAGTTTTTAAGCACAGAAGACTATCAGCTGGTCCATATATCATAATTCATTTCTGCTCCAAGACTGAGTGCCAGAAATCTGTGTAACTACAGTGATACTGTGTCATGCTAGTTACAGACTGAGTGTCATAACTCAAGTTGGTCAGTCGATAGAGATGTATGAAAGAGAAAGAATACAGACTTTGGCTAATTTTAAGTATGAGTTATTTTGCATTCTTGTGGGTGCTATGTTATGAAAATTCACATAAAATGTGGCATTGAATTTTATTAATTTTAATATAATAGCTTTGTCAGTTCAAGTACAATAAACTTTTAAGCAAATTTCACAAATACTTACCCTCCTAAATACTTACTCTGTCACTCTAAGACATTTTTAATGTTTCATTTAGCTTTTATCTTTAGGTGGAGCTGATAAAGTTAAACAAGTATGATTTTTTTTACAAGAGCACATGCACATTTCATATATTATGAGAAAGCATAATTAATAGCTAATTAGGATAATGAAAGTAATATACACCAGATGTAGAGAAGACCTCATGGAGAATTAGTATGAATTAGATGACGTGATTCGGTCGACGCAAGCTTGTTGAGAAGAATTCAAACAGTGGACATGTTGAGGGACATTCAGTGACTGTCTAGTTCCTATGCCCAGGGAATAATTTAATCAGGTTCTTTATTGTCATACTCAGGGCTTCAAGCTGTTTCATTTTCGCAAGTGGATAACTTGGGATTTGGGTTTTGATTTGCAGCATTCCGATATGGTCAAGGTTTCCTGTTGATATGATCATTTGCCAAGTAATTTAGTAAAGAACATCTGGAGATAAAAGAATAAAAAAGTAGTCAGGTATCTTGAACACTTAGTTCAGTCTCCAGGTCTTTCAGGTGCCATTGATACTAGAAATCTAATGGTTGCTACAATGCCATTTTCTATTTAATCTTCTTTGAGTGACAATAGGCCCACTTTCTTATGCCTGCAAATGTTTCTCGGCATTTATTAAGCTAAATTTTAGTATTTGATTGGCTGACTTACTAAGTTACATTTGAAGTAATGTATATGTAATATTGTAAAATCTAAGTGTTTTGCATATATTACACTATCTAACCATCCCAGCGCTATGCAGACATCCCCGCCATTGTCATATTCAGAGAGCATAACAAAACATAAAGTAAAGAACCTGGCCATGGTTATATCGGTAGTAAAGGATGGTCTCTAGGTTCTTATCTTCCTGAAGTTAGAAACAGCAACTTCTTCCTTACGAATGTTCCCAGCCTGAAACTTCTGGCTTTTAGAGACCTCTTACAGAAACTCTCTGCCTCTGTGCTATGCATAGTAAATACACTAAAGTTCTCAGTTATTGTGTGGTTGACCTTACACCGTCAGTATGCACAGCCCACCTGACCCAGCTATTCTGTCTGTCTGTCTGTGTGTCTGTGCTTTCTTCATTCCCTCTCTGTACCCATTATGTCTGTCCTTGGAGCCACTCAAGGATATGGCAGGAAAAGGAAATTTGTCTGTCCTGGATGCAAATAATTGAGTTCTTGAATAGCCTAGAAAGAATTTGCTGAATGCACTCCTTAAAATGGAACTTGTAAATTGATAAGGACGTAGGGAGTTTGCATCCATCTGAGCTTGATGTTTAAATGGTTAATAGGATGGACACTAAAATTTGTGCCTGGTTCTTCAAGTTATTTTCAAGATATAGTAACAATTCTATGCCAAGGAAAATGAAAACTCCATGGATTTTCTACATGGTCCTGATGCTTGTGGACTATTTGTTGATCAAAACAAGCTCCCTCAAATTCTGAGATCGTTCTTCTTTTAGCTGTTGTTGTGTTTAACATGTGTGTATAGTGGGCTTTAACATGTCTTATTCCGTGTAATGCTCAGTTGACTTCTGTTATAAATGCTCATGGGTGGCTTTGTTCATGAGATCACAGTAGCCTCTCCAGACAAGGAGAAAGGGATATCTACCTGTCCGTGTGTTTTAGATATTCCATTTCTGTCTAGTGAGTCTTGAGCAACTGACACCAGGATATGTTTTTTTGTCTCAATCCCATGCATGTGTTTTCAATTCCAGAACAACTTTTGAATTTATTGTGGTGCTGATTTCATTGAATCCTGAATGTTTTCTGGTTATTTCTGCTTGATTATATTATTTCAATTTGTACATATGTCAGGTAATGATTTGGATAATAAGAAGACATAATTTTAAGATTGTGTCTATGATTATTTAACTATTTAATTATTATGAAGTAAATAATCAAATGCAAGTACAATAAAATATTTAAAGCTCATGAGAAATATTTCTAAAAGATAAAACTAATGTATGTCTGTAGAAATAAAGATTGAATAAGCAATGATAATGTATTGAAATGAACCCATGAGCTGTGTCATTGGGGACATAGGAAAATGAATACTAACCTAATCATTCACAAGTGCTATCATTCACATAGCAATACGAATAGACACAAGAAGTGCTATGTATAGCTCAGGAAGCCACTGAGAATGAATGCAGAATGAATCTCTTAATGATTACCACTGCTGTGCAATTGATGATAACTCTATGAACTCTCTCTTTTTGTGAATCATAATAATAGCAAGCAAACAATAAAACGATCACAATAAGAAAATTCAATTAACTTAGATGTACAAGGCTAACATCTTTCTTATATTACCAGCCATGATGTTAGATAATATAAGGGGAAAGGGTCATTGCAATACAGAACCAAAAAGAAAATTTCATAATAAATATGAACTTGAATGAATAAAACTGAATACAAAGTCTTCTGAGTGATTTAAAGAAATCTTATTGAGAGACATTAGTTCTCTATAAGGATACAGGGTGATATTAAATGGAATATATGGAAATTATTTACATGAAAATGTTTATGTTCCAACACCAAACTCCAGGAATTGCAGAGAATAGCAGGGAAGGGAAAGCACGGACATGCAGACTTCTGTAAATATTATCATATAGTAATGGTTTTCCATTTTATGCTCTTTGTGTGGTCACAAGCAGTAGAGGTATTGCTGTAGTGCAAAAAGAACACAGATTCCAAGCTTTCTGAAGCAATTCTGCTAAAACAAGGGTCTTGTATCTCTATCCTTGTGCTTCATCTGGCCCTTTAGAAGAAGGGAGTTTTCTGTGTCTATTCTTAATTAATCATATGGTTTTCAATTCCCTTAGAAAGATGTACGAGACATCCTCACGCCTGTTCAGGTTGAGGTCACGTACCACCTTGGACATCATGTGATTACCAAAAGGAACACAGAGGAATTCCCACCACTGCAGCCAATCCTCCAGCAGAAGAAAGAAAAAGACATGATCAGGAAAACAGTAGGAGTCTTTTTTTTTTTGCATTTGAAATATTTTGTAACCTAACTGAAGAATTTTTAAAATATGACAAACTTAATTGAAATGTGCCTGAATTGTTTAGAAATTTTGTGGGTTGTTAATAGTTAATGAAAATAGATTTAAAATGTGTCTCTCTTGGTCTCTTCTCTGTCTCTGTTTCTGTCTCTCTCTTTGTGTGTGTGTGTGTGTGTTTGTGTGTGTGCTTAATAGTCCCTTTGGGATAGTCAACTGAATATGTTTGAACTTGTATTTAGCCACAAGAGTACCTTCTTGTGTATAAATATTTATGTAGAACACATGTAAGTTTTTTTGTCCTTGAAGAAAATGAATTATGGGAGAGAGACCATGTTTGATATCGGTTGTTCTGTGAGTTATTCAATGTCATTCCATGAGCCCACTTCCCACTTCGTGTGCATGATTCTTTCTTTGACCTTCTAGATTTCCTCCTTCATTTATATCTTTCCCCCTTCTTGACCTGTTCCTATCGCCTTGAACTATTTCCTTTCTTTGCTTTTACATAGTGTCTCCCGTTATGTCTTCCTGAGTAGTCCATGCACACTCAGGTGTGCATGGATCCTTTTAAATGATTAGAACTTAGTAAATTGGAAAAAACTTCATGTCATGCTACCATTTAATATCGTTCAATGTTTCCACAAAGCTATGCCTCTCACCTTGAATGTATAGCTATATTATTGGATTCAATTCAATGCCCATTCCTGTGCTAAAATTAGGTAGATGTTGGACTTCTGGAGAAAGTGGGGGAAAGCAGATTAAGGATGTTTCGGCAGCTGATATTCCAAATAGCTGCATAGTGTCTTTAATATAATTTCACAAAGCTTTTTTTTTTTTAGTCCTGGAATTTACTAGAGGGACTGATCTTCCTTAGCCCTGAAACTATAAATTTGAACTCCTGACTGATTCTCAGATTGAACCTTGGAGGAGGCATAAATTATAATTTGATGTGGCGTTCTTATATTTGTCAAGCACAGGCACCTTATTCTTTAAATACATAGAAATTAAAATAAAGGTTGTAATGTTCTGTTTCCAGATAAACTTTGCAAGGTTTTGTGCCCATGAAAATTGTTCTGCTGATCTGCAAGTTTCTGCAAAAATCGGATTTTTGAAGTAAGTGTAATTTTCTCATTTTTCCTCAAAAGCGCATAAAGAGTAAATGCACGTGGGTTCCAGTGAGAGAGGAACTAACCCACGAGAGTTGTCATCATAAAAAAATCTACAAAATGGCAAAGTTTGTTGTGAGATACTAAATGATGCCTATGTCACTCATAACATATATATATATATATATGTATATATATATATATAATTTGAGTATTAACATTTTTAAAGAATGAAAGCATGTGAGTCACCCTGAGGTTCTCTGAGGTATGCTTTAATAAATTTTTGGACCTTAGAAGAGATTTAATTGCACCTTTGGGTATCATTATCATGATCATAATTATGTTTCAACGTTTATTAAGTGCCTGGTAATACGAGCATTATTGTAAAAAATGATATACAGTGGTTCGTATATTTTATGGCTAGAAAAATGGGCTATGCAACTCAATCTGATATGCAAAATAATACATTTTAACAAATTTGAGAGACATAAACTAACTTGTTCTAAATTCACAGGATGGTAAACAGAGTAATAGGGTACAACATGCCTAGAATTGCATCTGGCAGATAGCAAGACCTGGATAAAAAGGGTGTCTAGTGCTACTTTACAGTGGACAATAAAACATCGCAACTTTGTATCACGTAGCGATTCCCTACATTCAAGTTGTTTTGCATATCTGGGGACCACGGGAAAGGAAAGAAGGGTAAGGATGTGACAGTCAGGGGAAAATGAGGACTGATCTAGGAGGGGGGACATAAAGGAAGCCAGAGCTATGTGGAGCAACTTCAATTCGGTGGATGTACTGTCACATTTTATGTCAGCGTAACATAAGGAGGAGTCATTTGGGGAAAGTGAACACTAGTTGAGAAAACGCCTCCACCAGCCTGGCCTGGAGGCAAGCCCGGGTGCGCTGTCTTGACAGGCTGAGTATTGTAGAGCACTTAGCTCACCCTGGACAGTGTCCTCTCTGGGCTGGTGGCCCTAGGTGCTATAAGAACACAGGCTGAGCAAGCCGCTTCTCCTTCATAGCTCTGCGTCAGTCCTTCGTTCTAGGTTCTTGTCTTGAATTCCCTGGATAATAGACTACAAGCTGTAAGACAAAATTGATTATGGTCATGGTGTTTTATCACAGCTTGCCTAGGGAGAAGAAATGTAAAATTTTCTGAACAAACCGCTGTATATCAAATGTCAGGAGTCCTTTCATTTCAAGAGCTTAGGAACGATAGGAACCCTTTTCGAAACTATAAATGATCTTCAGGGAATTGAGCCCTGATAAGCAGTTGGAGATGTAAAAAGGTGGAATTAACATTAACGTTCCTTGTCAACATAAGATAACGTAATGATGGGAAGGGCCATGGAGTTTGCATTTAAAATGCAGAAGGAAAGTGTCAGTGGCAAATTTTAAGATAAAAATCTCAGGGCAGTAGTAGTCAAATGGCTGGGTTGAGGGGGATCCTGGGCACAAGCCATAGGTTGTTTTTACATATTTCTTCTTCTTTCCTCCCTCCCTCCTTTTCTTTCTTACTTTCTTTCTCTTTTGTTTCTTTGATTTTTATTTTATTTTGTATTTTTTTTTTTGAGACAGACTCTCGCTGTGTAACCTTGGCTGTCCTGTAATTCACTCTGAAGACCAGGCTGGCCTTGAACTCACAAAGATCTGCCTATTTCTGCCTCCTAAGCACTGGGATTTATAGTGTGTGCCCGGCTTTTCTATGTTTCTTAGTGTGACTTTTAATTGTGGAAAGGCATAGCACATGCAGGTCAGAGGCCAAGAAAGGCTCAATCTGAAAGGGTAACCTTGGGCTTACATTCCAAAGGATGCTTTCCTTTTCCTTTTTGAGCTTCCTCTGAAGCACCTGGTAGCCCTTGGCTTAACCTGCTGAAGCTCCTTTCTTTTCAGCTCCTTGACAACATCTTGTTGTGTTTCCTCCTCGAGCCTCCCCTCAACTGTGTTGAGAGCATCCTTGCTACCCATCATGATCACCTCATTCACTCCACCTCATTCACTCATGACATATTTTTCCTAAATAATCTTACAACAATGACTTCTCCTGATCTTCCCACATTGCCTATACCTAAATCATTATCTTGCAGCATCACATCCCACGGCCTGCTGTTTGGCAAGCACTGTAAGTATCCTGTAGATTGGTTCTGATTAGTCATTAACCAGGAATGGTGTAGCCATTACTTAATTGCCTGAGTGAGAAACCTAGATTCAACCTTTTTGTCTATATTTTCATTCTTGAGATCCTATAGGTGAACTTTTCTGTCCCACCAGCTACTCCCCAAAAAATTCACACAGAGGCTTAATATTAATTATAAATGCTCTGCCAATAGCTTAGGCTTATTTTTTAGCTGGCTCTTACAACTTAAGTTAACACATTTCTATTCACCTATGTGCTGCCTTAGCTCATTTATGGATGTACTTTGCTTCTGGGTGGCAACTCCTGCCACTCTGCCCTTCTTCCCAGTGGCCTCCTATTCTGACTCAGCAGCCCAGTATCTTCCTTCCTAGTCACAGGCCAGTCAGTTATTTATTAACCAGTGAGAGTAATACATATTTACAGTATACAAAGATTGTCCCACAGTAAGACTCTATCAATTATTAAAATTTGAAGTAGTGCCACCTAAGAGTGCTATCTCCTCTTTCCCTTCTCTCCCATCTCTCCTTGTTATTTTACAAAGTGTGTACCTAGTAGCCTGCTTGGATCCTCTAGTCTTCTGGCTTCTCAGCACTGTCATTCCTATTCTGACCTTGATGTGTCCAGTATGACCTAACATCTACAGTGGTGGTACAAGGAGCCCTTAACTTGATGGGCAAATGAACCTGGTTCTTATAAATGATTCAGTTGGCTCATTCCAGTAATTGAAAAACAGTGACTAGCAACTGCCGTGCACACAAGAGCATAGCATGGCTTTGTCGGTCTATTAGTTGAACAACTTAGAGCTTCCCATTAGTGTATTTGTTTTCTAAGATGTGCATGGTCTAAGGTATACCAGAAGACTTTGATAAAGACTGTGCAGGTGTGTTTGTAGAGCAGGACGGTTTCTTAACCATTAACCGTGTTTTTTCCGCATTCTGTGTCTTCCTGGTCACCTTTCATTGCAAATCTTCTGGCTAATGAGAAAATGAGATTTCAAAACTTATGTGAAAAATATCACGAAGAATGTATTCAACTCATTCAAATAGCATGGAATTATTTATTCAGGTTTTCTATTTTGTTGCAAAAATTTGTCTACATACCAAGTACTTTTCCAATTAAAAATCAAGCCTGTGGTTTTAAACAGTAGCTGTCCAAGTATAAGCTGGTGTTCCTTAAGGTGTGATCTCGAGGCATATCCAAGACAATACTCACAATGCCTAACAGAAATGCTTATTCTGACACCCCAGAAAGTCCTCATTGATATCTAGGGGACCCAAGGAAGAAACCTCCACTATGAACAGAGCTTTAAGTTCACTTTTTAAAAGTTGGTTGAGAATTCACACATCTGTATAATGTGTTTTGATAAAGTCCAACCTTTTTTTCCCTCCAACTCCTTCTCTACCCCTACCAATATTTCTTCCAAATTTCATGTGTTCTTTGTTTTTTTAACCCATGTAGTCCACTTTGTGCAGTTAATGTGTGCTTGGGTGTAAATCCACAAACTGGAGCATGGGTACCTCCTCAGGCCACATTGTTAAATGTGATTCTCCCTCTCTTAGCAGTCATTCTTTTTTGTCAATAGCGCCTCAGTTAGGGGTAGGACTTTGTGTTCCCACTTTCCCCAGCCATGTTGGGATTTTGTCTGGATCACTTTTGTGCAGGTACTCATGGCTGCTGTCAGTTCATACGTGCAAATGCCTTGTAGTACCCAGAAAACACTATTTATCTGTAGTCCTCCACTGCCTCTGGTTCTTAAAGTCTTTCTGTCCTCCCTGTTATGAAATTGTAAGGAGCCGCCAGGATGTCGCCTTGGCGAGATGGTGCCAGCGGGGTCCTACAGCCTGGAGGTTTACAGTTCCTTTGATGCTGCTGCACAGGCCAGAATGTTTGGGGTCTGTGTTTTGCATTTCAAAGCTTTGGTTCCCTGACCTGTCCTGTGGTCTCAGGCCCTAGCAGAATGGCATCAACCAATCAGCATTCAAGCCTCTCCACCATTTAAAAGCAGCTGCCTCTGGGCTCTGCTTGCTCTCTCTAATCTCTCTCTCTCTCACTTCCTCTTTCGCTTTCTCTCTCTCATCGCTCTCCTTTTCCTCTCCCCAATTTCCCTCAACCGAGTGGCTCCGAATAAAGACGTGATAAGGGAAGGAATCTCGATTTCGTGGCCGTTCATTCCTGCTGGTCAGGAAGCGTGCCACATGAAATGATTTCTGAGACTTGGGAGAAGATAGTGTGATTGTGATATGTATGTCTCATTTAGGTCTGAGCAATCGGCCATTCCTGATTCTCTGTAGGTTGTGAGTTTCTTTGCTAAACATCACCTTCTACAAAAGAAACTTCTCTGGTGAAAGTTGAGAGATGTACTGATGTATGGGTATAAGGATTTGTCTTGATAATTTGTTAAATACTATGTATACTTAGTAGAATAATAGTAACAGGTTCTCCCCTTGGTTGTATGGTATACCTGAGCCTTGGGTTCTTGGCCCCAATGCCAGGCTTAAGTTTCATGTCTATGAAGTGGGCCTTAAATCCAATCATAAAATGGCTGGTTACTCCCATAATACCTGTGCCACTATTGCATCTGTAGGTGTGTCTTGCCAGAGTTGTCCTTACTGTAGTGTGCCGTCTTACAGATGGGTAAGACCAATCATTATTTTTCTTCAGAATAGCATGCATAGCACTTTCTGTCAGGAAAGCTGCCCAATAGGGATGAGGCCTCCAGATCAGGACCAGCTTGATTTCTCCATGTTCTATGCCTGTTTTGCAAGATTCTTACTATCAAGTTCTAGATGGTAATGGTAATACCATGTAATGTTTTAGGGTCTAGGATACTAACAACTCCAGAAGCAAGAGCCTACGTCTGTTAT